CTACACGCCTCTGATGGACAAACAGTAACTTGAGACTGTACTGTGATTGATATCATCTGGTCCAGTAAAGTCCAGATAAGCATCAGTCACCTAGGTGGGTGACCAAAGCACTGGACCCATGGCATTCCCAAAATGCCTTTGTTCTTTCCATACACTTTTTTTCTTTTTCCTTTTTTTTTTTTTTTTTTTTTTTTTAGGGGATCGAACTGGGAGGACCTTGAGCTTGCAAGGCGGGTGGCAAACCAATGAGCTAAATCCCCAGCCTTTTTTCATATATCTGCTAAGGTAATGGCTTCCCTATTGGATAAATAATAGGTAAGTGGCTATACTTGGAATCCTACAGGTTGATGGCAGTTTAACGCACCTTGTACCCACACTGTGATTTTGCTGTATAAATTACCCCTAACACAGGGTCCTGGGACCCCTTCTGTCACTCAGTAAACCTTTCCTATTCTTAACCTCCCTTGTTCCTTGAAATTCCTTCTTCGATTTCAGGGGACACAGTCTCATCACATCTGACATCCAGCAGGTTAAGAATTATATTTTTGTTCACTGCCTCAAAGAAAAAATGGTTGTGCCGGGCGTGGTGGCGCAGGCCTGTAATCCAGCACTCGGGAGGCTGAGGCAGGAGGATCGCTGTGAGTTCGAGACTAGGCTACACAGTGAGTTCTAGGGCAGTCTGAACTACATAGTGAGACCATGTCTCAAAAAACCAAAAAAAAAAAAAAAAAAAGGAAAAAAATGGTTGAGCATGTAGCCCGGGGGTGGAGCACTTGCCTAACACGCGTCAGACCGAGTTCAGTTCCCAGTACAGGAAAGAGCAAATCAGCAAACACTCTGCTGTCCTCCCTCTCTGCTGTGACTGCAGACTCGTTCTGCCGTTTCCCCTCCCTTCAAGGTTCTCTGTATCCTACTCCCAGCGCCCCAGCCCTAGTCCTATGTACCTGTGGGGAGCGGCTGCGATGGGCCTTTAGAAGTCTCCAGAATCTGTACCCAAAGTTCCCTTTTTAACATTTTCTTGATGGTGAACCACAAGCGGCTGCAGCTTACACAACGTGTGTCCCGAAGCCCCCGCCTTGTGTAGAAGCATTTGCCTGTGACAGGAACACAAAACCGATGTAGCCCTCTCACTGTTTCTCATGCTTCCAGTGGAATTCCTGTTTCTTTGCCCTGCACCTCTCTCAAGCCTTATCTACGATGCTCGGACTAAAATTACACGCGGAAAGCCACCGTAAAAAAACAGGCCAGTCGGCCTCAGGAGACAGGAAGGCGCGACCCGTTAGCCGCCCGGAAGTCCCCTGGCGTCTGAGGCCTGATTGGGCCTGACGTAACTACCGGTTAGAGCCTCGCCTCCTCGCGGCCTAGCCTCAGGGTCTGTAGCTCCAGTCTGTCCTTCCTCTTCCCCGCCCTGGTGGTGCTGATCGGAGCTGCGAACATGGCTAAGCAGGTATCTCCAGCCGGGGAGGTCCTTCTCCGAGGAAGGGAGCGCGGCACCGAGGGCACCTTGCCGCTTGCCCCAGGCGCGCGGACTCGGCCTAGGAGGCGATCGACTCCTCAACCGAGCCTCCCGTGAGCTCAGCCGGAAGGTGAAGGAGAAGCTCCGTTTGGACCGCCCTGTGGCGCAGGGACTTTGCTTTCTCTGCTCCTGGCGCCGGGAGCGGGTGAGGGGTGTCAGGGCCTGGCGCGTCCTGAGCCCTCCTCTAGGACTGGCGCAGCTCACTGGGCCATGCTTGCAGGTGGTGGAGCTGCACCCTGCTGCTCACTCCCGGTCTGATTGCGTTTCGTCCTTGCAGTTTCTAACAGCCTAAGTAAGCGTAATTAGTGGGTAGGCCTCCAAGGAATGTGTTTTAGGGAGACTCTTAGGCCCGCCCCTTTCCTTAATAGTTTTGAGTTGTTCGGTATGATAAAGATTTATATTCTCGGGCCGGGGATTTAGCTCAGCGGTTCGGTGGCCTGCTTTGCAAGCTCAAGGACCCTAGTTCAGTCCCCGGTACCACAAAAACAAAAAACAAAAAAATAGCTTTATATTCTCCTTTGGTCCCTACATAACACCACTGCGAGTTAGTATCCCCATTTTACAGACTGAAATCTGAGGCTTAAGAAGTTGGTTGGTTGGTTGTGCTTAGCGGTCTTAGGACAGAGAGGGGCCCCAGCCCGAGTACATCACAGTGACAAAATCTGGAAAGCCCATTAACAAAAGAGACAGAAATATACCAGAAGTAACTAGAAGGTATACCACCTTAAATGTTGAAGTTTAGAAGAAATGGTAAACTGTGATCTTTAGTAATTATGTGAAGTTGTTTTTTCCTTATTACCAAGTGTTTCTAGAGAAGTTCATAATTTATAACTCGTGATAGTTCAAATGCTGAAGTAGGGAGTTTCTTCTGGGGTGAGGCTTTGTTTTAGAATTAAAAAGGCATCAAATTTAGATCCTGGATGAATTATTCGTGTTGTTTTGAATCTCAAGGTTACAAGATTAAATTGTTAGTTCTAAATTTCATCCTTTGAGATTTTGCTTTTAGATTGTTGTACTTTGAGAGGAAAAGATTCTAATACAAATTAGAATCTAAATTTGTCTAAATTCTTTTTACTGTCAGATTTCATTTTAATTTTAAAAGCGATAATTTTTAGCCTATTTACCCAGTCAGGCCACTCCTTATATCTGCACTATGTGATCAAAATATAGTGAATGTTTTAATTTTTAAAGGTTATTACAGTAAAAGACACGTTGCTATTAATCCTCCTTAGAATACTCCTCACTTCAAATACCCTTATTCCTTGTAGTTTGCCACTTTCTGAAGGAGTTCTGGAAGTCCTCTTATCTACAAGATGTGATTAAAAGTACCATGAATTCTGTTGCCTAGTGCCATCTGTTGAACAACACGCTGATAAAAACAGCCTCAGCTGTCCTTATCCACCTTTTTCCTGGAATGTAGTACTACTGTGCAACTTCTAGCTCTTCTACAAAGTCAGAATGACCATTGAAGGTCTGTATTTTGAAAGATTCAGGACATTCAGGCAGCCATGTCAGCGCAACCACGTCAGCTCAGAAAGTAGCAAGAATGATGGGATACAGGCTGGGCGTGGTGACGCACACCTGTAACCCCAGCACTTGGGGAGGCTGAGGCATGAGGATCACTGTGAGTTTGAGACCAGCCTGGACTACCTAGTGAGTTTCAGGTCAGTCTCAACTCATAGTTAGACTCTGTCTCAAACGCCCCCGCCCCCCGCAAAATGATGGGGTATCTGTGTTTAAAGTGAGGGCTGGTGTTTTGAGAGGGATTAGTAACTGTTTTTTACTGTCATAATAGTTCGTATTCTCAGCTAATTCAACTCACTATATTTTTCAATAGTTCACCGCTTCTTTTCCTCCAACCTTCATTCTGATGCCACTGATAACTTGACTAGCTTGTTTTTGCAAAGCTGCACTGATCCAAGAACGGGGAGTCCATGTTATCCTCATTCATTCTTCCTGATCACCCTGTATGTATTTTTTCACCATCTGTAACTGTCTCATCCTTGTCTTTCAGTAAGTACCCAGGATAAAAGTGATGCTTTTCAAAACCTGCCAACCAGTTATGTCTGCCCTCATTTTTTGCTTGCTGTAGCACTTTGCACTTGTTTCTTTAAGTTAACATTTTTTGTAATTACTGATTTTCAAATCTGTCTTCTATAGACCCAGTGGTTTTCAACCTTTATACTGTCAACACATTTCATAAGCATTATGTGAACAGATCAAGATCTTCCTGTGATGCTTAATTCTTTGGTAGTGAAGGGATATACTGACTATATCTCTGAGGCAGCTCTATGCTATAGATACAAATCACACAGGTAGTTTTAAATTTTCTAGTAACATTAAAAACTAAGGGACATATGAAGTTAATTTTAGTAGTACATTTAGATTATTCAGTATATTTAAAAGGCTATTTCAACATGTAATCAATATTTTTAAAAATATTTGACTTTTTACTGTGTCTTCTAAATGTAGGTTTGGTTTACATTTATAGCATATCTCAGTTCAGACTGGCCATTTTTTGTTACTTATTAGTCATGTTTGGCAAATGGCTACTGTAAAAGACATGGCAGCTATAACAGGTAGATACATTTTTTTTTAAGTTTCCCTATTTTGATATTGATATCGTCCTTTCCACCACCAGTTTTACCATCTTGAGAAAAGACTTTATAGGGTATGTATTAAACATGGTTCCTTGGATCTCAGGCCAGACCCACTGAATCAAATTCTGTTACAGTATTCATTTTTAACCTGCTCTTCTTTCTGCATTGTAGAGGGTCATTAAATATTTGATGAATAAAACTTCAGCCAAAAGAGGCTTTTATAGCTGACCAGGTAGTCATCTCAACTACGACTTTTAAAAATATGTTATTTCTATAATTCTCAATATCAATTAGAGATATTTCTCTGTGAGTGTGTGATAAACTTTCTAAAATTAGAATTCAGTAACAAAAGTTTATCATTGAGCAATTATTAATTTAGAAGGTTAAACAGCTTACTCCCTTTTTTCTCTCTTTTAGGTTATCAAATGCAAGGCTGCAGTTGCTTGGGAGGCTGGAAAGCCTCTTTCCATTGAGGAGATCGAGGTAGCACCCCCAAAGGCTCACGAAGTTCGCATTAAGGTAATGGTACATCTAAGGAACTGGGTGCAAGAAAAAGAGACAATTAGGTCTCTAGATTGAGTAGATCTGAGGTCTGCAGAGGATAAATTTTAAATGGCACCATTAAAGAGGAGGCTTTGAAAGTCATCCAACCTTAGAATCAAAATATCCTCCTCTAACTCCCTCACCTTTGCAGCAGCATTCACTATCTTTAGCTTTGGTATAGGGCTAAGCATCCATTTTCATGGATTACTGCAATATAACTTCTGTAATTTGAGTGTGAGGATCCTCCTCTTTTTGTTGATCCTATAAATTTAAATATATAGTGTCTCATTGGAAACAAAGTTTTGCTAGTAGAAACTTTAAGGTTTGAAAAGAACTATAAACAAATGAATTTCTAATATTGCTTGCTTAGAGAGCTTTAAAATGTACTGTACCCAGTGGTCAAGGCCAAGATTGAGTACATTTCATGATTCCATTGCTTCTCAGCTTCCTCTGTGCCCAGAGAGAGGCACATTGTGCAAGGCAGTCAGCTAGAGAGATCTTTAAAACCTTGATATTACAATTCCTTATGGGTCTGGAGATTTAGCTTAGTGGCGCTGCTCCTGCCTTGCAAGCGCAAGGTCCTGAGTTCAATCCCCGGTATCGAAAAAAACAATACAATTCCTTATGTTTTTAGCATTCCACTCTTAATGGCTTTGATATAAAAGTGCTTTAAAGCGGTGACCATTAAATAATATTTTTTTCTAATTTTGTACACTTGAAGAGTCAGCTCTCTTTTTGCTATCACTGTAAGTGTACAACCTCTCCATTCTACATCCAGACATATACCATGTGTCCTGGTTCATGTTCTTAAAGATCTCATACATCCAGTAAAGGATCAAATATTTTTTAAGGTCTTTTTCCCCTCTCCCCAACCCAGGATCAAACTCAGGACCTTGCGCTTGCAAGTTAGGTGTGGCGCCATGGAGCTAAATCCATGGCCTTCAGGTCCTTTTTAACCCAGATCCAGGATTCTGAAATCTTTCAATATTTTGTGTTTTTCTTCAAGTTCAGAAATTAAACTAATATACTTTTGCCACAAAGATGATTTTTTTCTTGGATATAATGAGATGAGCTATATGGGGCACACTCAGATCAACTTGCATTCCTAGGGAACTACTGGCATATAGCAGAGAGTTTTACCTTATAGTGGCTATACAGGCCAGAATCATGAAATATAAATAGACACTCACAAGATTTTGCCTTTCTGTGCATTTTGTGGCTTGAAAAGTCCGAGAGATAGGAATAAAGGGGTTGCTTGAGTAGGTGGGGTGGCAAAGAAGGAGTTTAATCCACTTAATGCTCTGAGTTTTGGTCCAGACTCAAGCAGACTGGCATACTTCAGAAATAATACCCTTTTTAGACATCATATTTCCCAGCAGTCATGAAGAGTCTTCCAATGATATGAGCTGTGTTTGGCACACAGGTGGTGTTCTTTGCTCACCTGAACATACAGTGCCTATAACATCATTTTATTTACCTTCTCTTGCAAACATTCACCAAAAGAGAATAGATGGGCCCCATTTCACTGTATATAAATACATCAAAACACCACCAAAAAAAAAAATGCTACCAATTCTAATTGTTAGGATGCCATGAATTACAAATACTTGCTGATTGTAGAAAAGTTAAAATATGACAGAAATATTTTAGAATCAAAATATGGTATTAAACTAAAATGCCTTTCATTTGACTCATACCCCTGAATTGTACATGCACGCACACGTCAATGGTTTTTCTGTAATATCCTGATAGATCATTGCCACTGCAGTTTGCCACACTGATGCGTATACCTTGAGTGGAGCTGATCCTGAGGGGTGTTTTCCAGTAATCTTGGGACATGAGGGTGCTGGGATTGTGGAAAGTGTTGGTGAAGGAGTTACTAAATTTAAGGCAGGTAAGGAGAATATTTAAATCTCTTATTTGATGACTTTGGCTAATTACTATAGGAAAATTACTTTTCTGATAAATACACCACTGTTTATAAATAAGTTAGCATAGCATAGCACCTAAGAAAGTTGTCAAGATTGATTTCATTCCTCCTCTGAAAAGCACAAATATTTGGATATTGTTTTCCTGTCTGATTTTGCAGGGTACTCTTTATCTGAAACTGTGTAAGTATATTTCCAAAGTCAATTTGGGCAAATTAAACAAGAATTTTTAGAGCTACAACAATTAATCAGTATTTTGAAGCACATGACCTCCCTGTCTTGTAGACACTGTTTTAAGAGTGTTTGTTCATTTGTTTGTTTGTTTGTTTGTTTGTTTTATGGTATCTAGGATTGAACTCAGGACCTTGCATTTAGCAGACAGGTATGGTGCCACTGAGCTACATCCCATCCCAAGAGTTTTATTTAGGTAAAACTTTTGCAACATACTTTTTGTATGGCTGACCACTGTCTGAATGATATTTATATAAAGTTTTAAACCTTGAAGTTACTAATTCTACAGAGCTATACCAGTTGACAGGACTGAGAATTTCCACGGGCTGCTGTGTTCTTTTAGAAACATGCCACCTATTCAAATGATGTCTTTGCATTGTTTTACAGGTGATACTGTCATCCCACTTTATATCCCACAATGTGGGGAATGCAAATTTTGTCTAAATCCAAAAACAAACCTTTGCCAGAAGATAAGGTTAGTAGCTTTATATTATGTTCCTAAAACAAGATGTCCTATTAACAGCAGTACCAAGAAATTGCGTGGCAGTTTATATAACAAATGTTACACAAATTACTTTATTCCATCTTCAAGCAACCTATCACTGTAAGTAGTAGCCCCATTTTGGGGAAAGACAGAAATTAAGACTCAGAAATTAAGGGTTTGCTTGTCTCAAGCCATTAACATGTAAGGCAGATTTTTCTGAAGTCATTTTGTTTCTATAATACTAGGATGAATTTGTAAGGAAGGACATGTTTGTTAGATTTAATTGAAATCATTTTTATGAGCCATTTTATTGTCCATGAAAGCAAAGTGATAAAACATACCTCATAGGTTATGGGGAGCTTGGAAGATATAACATAAAGCTTGACATAGAAAAGGTAGCTAGTTTATTGTAAGTTAATAGCACTTAAAGAACTGCTTGAAGACATTTTAAGATCTCCTTTTGTTTCTTGTTCTCTTTTTAATTGAGATTAAACACACTGCAATATGCTGTATATAGGGTATAAATCTCAAGAGTGCAGCTCAGTGAATGTTTACATATTACACACATGATGATTAGAGCCTTAACCTGGATCAAGATGGAGATCCTGGCCAGCACTCCTCAAAGTCCCTCATGTCCTTGCTAAGTCAACAGCTCCCTCCCTCAGAAGTGACCACCATCTTGATGTCTTTTATTGTAGAACTTCCTTTAAATTGAATCCGTATGTGTACATTTTTCATGTTTCATTCATAATGTCTGTGAGAGCTGTCCAAGTTGCTGTGTGCATCTGTGCTTTTTTGTTGCTCTGTCATATTCCAGGTACCATTATTTATCCATTTTCCTGTTGGACATTTAGGTTGCTCCCAGCTTGGGGCTGTTATGATTAGTGCTATTAGAGACATTCTTACACATGTCTTGTGATGGATATGCACACTACTTCTTCCTGGATATTTTTGAGGGATGAGAATTGCTAAATTATGAGCTACATATCAATAGCTTATAGTGCATGTGTTTACACTCCCACCAGCATTGTATGGGAGGTTTCAATTTATTCTTACATTTGTTTTCTTGTTGTTGTTGTTTGTTTTTTGTTTTTTTGAGTCTGACCTGGAACTCACTATGTAGCCCATGCTGGTCTCAAACTCAAAGTGATCCTCCTGTCTCAGCCTCCTGAGTGCTGGCTGGGATTACAGGTGTGCGCCACCACGCCTGGCTCTAGCTATCTGTTTTCATCACCTGATCTGGATTAATTCTTGCAGTCTCTACCTTTGTAGATGATACTGGTTTGGGCATCATCTTTTGTGAAGTTTAATTTGCTCATGGAGTTATATAATGCAGTTTTTAAAAAATTTCATCTACATCTGTTCAGTTGAGTTCAGAAATCTGACAGTAAGCTCCAGAAAGACATCGGAAGATAGGTAACATTATAAATCTCTTATGTTTACCTTGTAAAGCATTGCTGAAATGAGCCAAATTATTAATGAATACATTTTAGTACACTTTTCTGAATATTTATTAGTCATTATTTTAAAAACTAATTTCTTTCTTTTGTGGGTTTTAAGAAACCTGATTTTACCCTGCCATTTTCCTTATTTTCCTTAGAGTCACTCAGGGGAAAGGATTAATGCCAGATGGTAGTAGCAGATTTACTTGCAAAGGAAAGACCATTTTACACTATATGGGAACAAGCACGTTTTCTGAATACACTGTTGTTGCTGATATCTCCGTTGCTAAAATAGATCCTGTGGCACCTTTGGATAAAGTCTGCCTTCTTGGTTGTGGTATTTCAACTGGTTATGGTGCTGTTGTAAACACCGCCAAGGTATGAGTTAGCATCCATCTCCTAGTTCAACTCAGAGTTTTTCTGAGACAGTGCAACTGGCCTGCTCTGTAAAAAACCTAGTGATTTCCTAGACTCTTGTAGAACAAGTGTCTTACAGACTGTTTTTACTGTTAGGTGGAGCCTGGCTCTACTTGTGCTGTCTTTGGCCTGGGAGGAGTTGGATTGGCAGTTATCATGGGCTGTAAAGTAGCTGGTGCATCACGGATCATTGGTATAGACATCAATAAAGACAAATTTACAAGGGCCAAAGAATTTGGAGCCTCCGAATGTGTTAATCCCCAGGACTTCAGTAAACCCATCCAAGAGGTACTCATTGAGATGACTGATGGAGGAGTGGACTATTCCTTTGAGTGTATTGGTAATGTTAAGGTCATGGTGAGTATACTTCACTCTTTTTTGTTTGTTTATGGAACCTTTTTTAAGATGTATTTTCCAAGGGCTGGGGATTTAGCTCAGCGGTTCGGTGGCCTGCCTTGCAAGCGCAAGGACCTGAGTTCAATCCCCGGTACCAAAAAAAAAATAATGTATTTTCCTTAAGATTCAAAATCATTTTGTTTTCGGAAAGTGAAGGTCTTTTGATAAAAATTAATCTTAGGGAAAATCTATTTGAATTATGAATGGAAATGATACAGAAGATTTATTCTAATGAAAGGGAAAAGTAACTGTTTCAACTATATACAAGAACAATCCAGGGAAAGATGAAAAAGATGTTTCTTTGCTTTTCATTTATGTATAAATGTATGTCTCATTAAATGACAAAGTAGACTACATCTTCCTTGTCTGTGAAATGCATGTAACAGTAACACCTACATGACACTAAGTATACACTTAGCAATAAGTATTACTAAATCTCCTACCTGCTTATTTCCTCTAGAATTTTGAACTAGGAGTTCCTTTTTCTAATTTTTACTGATACATAAAACTCGTACATATAAATAGGTACCAAATGTACTATTCAATATATATTTGTACATATTAATAGGTACTAAACGTAATATTCAATACATGTGTACCTTGCGTAATGTTTAGATCACGTTAAACGTTTTACTCAAACATTTGTCATTCCTATGTGGCAAAAACTTTCACATCCTTCTAGCTTGCTGAAATGTACAGTACATTATTGTTGTCTATAGTCATCCTGCTGTGTAACAGTATACCAGAGCTTCTTGCTTCTATACTGTAACTTGGTACCCATTAATTAGCCTTTCTGCCTTCATTGTCCTATACCTGAATACCACATATTCCTTATATCTCATCAGCTGATGAACACTTAGGTTGTTTCTGTTTCTTGGCTGTTAATAGTGTTGTAATGAACATAATGGTAATAATTATGTTACCCTGATAATTAGTGTGTTGAGCATTTTTTTGTTTTGTTTTTTTGTTACCAAAGATCGAATTCAGGACCTTGTGTTTGCAAGGCAGGTGCGTTGCCACTGAGCTAAATCCCTGGCCCTTGAAGTTTTTTTTATATGCCTGTTGGCCATTTATGTATCATCTTTTGAGAAATGTCTGTGGCCCATTTTTAAACCATGTTGCTTTAAGAGTTTTAGGGGTCCTTATAAATTCTAGATATCAACCTCTTCTCAGATTTACAGCTTGCAAATATTTTCCCCCATTTTCCAGATCGTCTCTGCACTGTTGTCTTATTTGCTGTCCAGAAGCATTTCAATTTAGTAAAATCACATTCGTTTATTTTTTCTTTTATTTCCTGTACTTTTGGGGTCTTGTCCAAAAACTTGTTGCCCATTCCACTGTGTATTTCTTCCAGTAATTTCATACATTAATTCTAATCTATTTTGAGTTGATTTTGAACCTGTACAGGAGAGGTGTCTAAGCTTATTCTTTTGCCATGGAAATAGGATTTACAGTGGTACCTTGGTTCACAAACTTAATGCATTCCACAATCCTGGAAAAGATGGCCATACTCATGTTCATGTGGGAAAGATGCCCCATGTTCTTCACCCAATGCAGAGTTCACCAACAAAAACAAAATTTTGCCAAATGCTTTGGTTCGTGAATCAAATTGTTCAAACCAAAGCATTTATGAACCAAGGTAACACTGTACTTTTAAAATAAAATCTTTACATTTGTTTGATTTGTTCAAATATTAATTTACTCAGGTTAATGATTTTTAAACAGTAAAAACCAAAACTACTTTGAGTTTCCACCTTACCCCAATATGAATGTCTGTCATCAGATAAAAGATAACAAGCACTGGCAGGAAAGTGGATAAAAGGGAATCGTTGTATGCTGTTGGTGGGAGTGTAAATTGGTATGGCCATTATGGAAAACAGTATGAAGTTTCCTGAGAAGGTTAAAAATAGAACTGTCATATGATCCAGCCAATGTATTACTGGGTATAGAAGTAATTAAAAAATAGGGTGAATGTTTAAATAAGATTACAGTAGACGACACATTGCCATTAATCCCCATCAGTACTTAAAATACTCCCTTTCTTCAAACACACTTATCCTTTCATTCTTGACAATGTATATTTTAGTGTAATAAGTTTTTCTTAATTTAAGCATGTGCCATATTTTTTATCACCCCTTGTATATCCAAAGGAAATTAGTATATCCGTCACCCACACTCCCATGTTTATGGCAGAACTATAAACCTTTAAAATGTAATTGTTCAGTAAAATTAAACTTACTAAACATTGGTTTGTGGTCATTTTTCTGAGAAGTTCTGTCACCTTGCTAGAAGTATCTAGCACAAAATACTGGCTCCTTTGATTGGGTCTTTATATGTGCAGAGAGCAGCACTTGAGGCATGCCACAAAGGCTGGGGTGTTAGCGTGGTGGTTGGAGTAGCTGCTGCAGGTGAAGAAATTGCCACTCGTCCCTTCCAGCTGGTGACAGGTCGCACATGGAAAGGCACTGCCTTTGGAGGTAATTAAGTGCATAAGTACCTTTTTGCTTGTTATTTTCATTGGCATATTTTTAATCATAGTATAATTTTTCTGTATTAACAAAAATTTCATAAACTACCTTCTCATCATGAATTCATGATGCATGCAGGATCATTTTAATAGAAGGGATTTTTTTTTTTTTGAGACAGGGTCTCACACTATGTAGTTGAGACTGACCTGAACTATGTAGCCCAGGCTGATCTCAAACTCAACAGTGATCTTCTTGCCAAGTGATGGGATTACAGGCATGCACCACCATGCTGGGGTAATAGAAAGGATTTTAATTCAATCATTTACCTCTGAAGCTGGAGAAGTTCTCAGCTTCTTCTACACATGGTCACTGGTTACACACTTCTAAACAGTTAGTACGGTAGTATGAGGAGAAAGAAGTTGGTTGCAGGGTAAGCAAATAGTAGTGTTAGCCACACAGTTACAGGTTTTAGACTTTTGGATCGGACTCAGGACCTTGCACTTGCAAGGCAGGCAGTGGAACCACTGAGCTAAATCCCCAGCCCTATTTTAGACTTATGTTTACTCATTTTTCCAGAGAGTGCAGTGATCACTAGATGTGATTATACTTTGTGAATAATATTAATTTCAGCAGCAACCAGTACTGAGTCTTACACTGAAAATATTGTGAATGAATGAAATCCATAAAATCTTTAATAGGCTTTTAAAATTTTTATCTTATTATCCTCTCAGGGGAAAAAAGTCACATGAGTTTTTTTTTTTTTTTTTTTTTTTT